CCTTTTGACAAAATATAATTTTTTTAATCAAGCCCCCCCCCCCTCCGGTCAATGGTGTCCCTCTTTACCAATCTGAAAATCTGGTCACCTTATATAAAGGATCACTTCCAGACTATAAACCTTTTATAAAGTCTTTGGGAAAGACTTTTTATTGGAGTTGGATGGTGAGGAGTAATTGAACTGGATGTCATCAACATACTGACCTCAATTCAACCTTTGCCAACATAGTCATGTGGATAAGCCCAATATGGAATCTTGCAGATCAATTGACTATAAGTCAATTATTGTCCATCTGTGTCATCTGTGTCACATAGCCCTAAACAAAGTACTAGATTTCTGTAAAACAGCACAGCCAAACTCAATCCTGACTGGCAGTTCAGAAAAATACAGTAGTCAAGTATACTAAAATGCTGAGAGGAAGATTGGCCAAGGCAGTCTTCCCCATGCAGTTTTCTAGAAAATATAATTCCTCAAAACCACCAAGCAACTTTAGCAACTATATCTTGCTGCAATCCAATTCAGATAGGTTAAACAAATATCATTTAAATGAATCTATATCTGCAAAACTATTATCTTGATCACATTTTCTGGAGATATAATAATTCCTAGAATATTTAAAGACTGCCCTCTAATTGTGCAGATCTCCTTGGTCAAAGGAGTGTTCTTTAGTAGAAAGATTATTGTCTCCCGCCTGCTAGGAGATGTGGCTACCTTCATTTATGTGTGGTATCAGTTGCACGTGTAGAAAGTTAGCAACCACCCCTCTGCTAGAAGAAATATTCTAGGAAATATTAAAAAGGCAGAATATTATATTTCCCTGGATGAGAAAAGGAGAAACATTTTTAAAGACAAAGATCAACTCCCTGAAGCTCCCTGCCCCCAGCAGATATTTGATGCCCATTGACCAGGACTGGGCCAGCCTATCTACAAGACAATTAGATCTTCAGCTCCAGGGTGATGGGATTAAGACATGACCCTCAGGACATAATAGGATTAGCCCTCTCCGCATCTAGCAGCAGGGCTCACTGCATTTCAAAATTTCCTAAGGACATTGCATCACCCAGCAAGGTTCAACCAAACTTACCTCAGATAACCTCAGCTATGACCCCTGCATAGCCCCATGGGAGTTTGACAGCAGCCAATAAAATGCATATTCTTGCACAGGAATAGGAAGCTCAAGTTCAAAGCCAAGAGAGGGTATAAATACCTCTCACTCTCCATGTGTTCAGCTGCCCAGGACCTCAAACCCATGTAGTCCTGTCCATCAGTAAATCATCTTTCCAATCAGTCTCCATTTTTCCAGTGACTTTCTCCCCACTTGAAACTGAACCAGATGGATATTTCTTCCAACACATGCTAACTGACTTAATCAGCCAGTCAAGAATTGGGATAATCCACATTCTCCCACATACGTTACATCAGGGGTGTCAAACGCACGGCCCATTGGCCGGATGCGTCATGTGCTGGCTCCACCCCCACCCAGTTTAGGGAAGGGGGAAGTCTTGTTACATCATGTGATGCCACCATGACAACACAAGTTTGACACCCCTATCTGATATGCTTTCCTTAAACTTTAATTAAAACAATGAAACAACTATTTGAAAACAATTGCAGACCTACAAATTCTACTGAAACTGAGCACAGACACCATGATAATATTCCTGGTTGAACCTCTGGACAAAACTAAACAACTAAATGAGCACACAATAAATTTAAAAGATAATGAATGAGTAAGGGAATGGGCTCATAGATAGAAAAAACATTCAAACACCCTAAAAATGTAAGTAGTTATAATTTTATATAGTTATAAACAGTCAAAACTTATGATTTGTGCCAAATGATTTCATTCAATTATTTGATTTCCTGTTTTTATCAATGAATAATGGTTAATCTATTTTTGTGGCTTTGTTTGCATGTGGGAAATAAGTGCTTACATTTTAGGGCATCTATTTCTCTATATTATATATATGCAGAGATATTTTATAGACTCTATAAAATATCTCTGCATTTATTTTCTACAATGTCATGAAGAAATATCAACATAAATTAAGTATACCCAAGACTTTCTGAAATGAATAACTCCCAAGTATATCAATAACTATGGACTAAGTTAAAAACCTGAACTTTGGAATCAAGTTAAAAAAGGTCAAGGATTAAAAATATTAATTTCAATCCTTCCTAAAGCTGAATAGTAGGACAAAAGAACAAAAGTAAATAAATACTTCTATGGATATTTTTCATAAGTGTTTTCACCAAAGCATTTATTTTTTAGATTAACAGCAAACAGTTGTCATTCAAGGTTTTGAGTTAGCTTTCAATTACTTCTGTAACATAAATTATGTATTGCGCAGTGTTTGAAAGGATGTGGTTATGGCTTTTATATCAGAAAGGAAGCTATAGAAGAGTGCTGCCTGGATGACAGATGGAAAGATAAAGCACCTACATTGTTTTTTGTATCCACGTTTGAGACAGTTCAGTCTTTGTCTCTAATTTCATTTTCTTGGTGTCATGTGTGGAATATTAAGAGCAGATCCCTTTTCATCCTGGAATTTTGATCATTACATGCTGGAAATGAATAATTGTGTTCTTCTGGAAGAAGTACTGATCAAAAAATCTCAGCAGAAGAGAAGAACCTCCCCTTCCAACTTTAAAGTTCGATTCTTCGTCTTAACAAAATCAAGACTGGCATATTTTGAACGTCGTCCTGGGGTAGGTGTGCTATTTTCCATGAAGTTTCCTAGCTCTGTCACTCAAAAGATACAGAAGTTCTTAAGAAAATGAATATTTCACTGGATTTTATTTTACTGTTGATTTTTTACACCAAAAATTCAAAGTTTTACTCTGTTTAAAATTATTTATTTAAAGAATTCATAGTATGTGTCCCGTAGCATCGCAATTTTGTAAACAAGGCTAGTGACTTCCATGGCTAACCTGGACAGAACAAAGCTTTCATTAGACTAATAATTTTTGATATGAAAAATAAGAGAATTAAGACTTTAACCTGTGTATTTGAGGAGGATCATCATAAAGGTATAATGCTGTTTATCCCTTTACAGAGGGATAAATTGTGCTTTAATTCAGCCACAATTTAATGCATAGTTATAAGTATAATCTTTATTGTCATTGTACTTAAATACAAACGAAATTGGTTTTATGTATTTTTCTATGTTCTGTGTTTTTAGCTCATGCTGTCTGTGTCTTCAGTTTACACAAATACACACACACACACACACACACACACAAGAATGATGGATCTCAAAAGTTTGATCATCAGCTTGATCATTCTCAATGACAATCTTTTAATTACAATTGAAAGATTTATCAGGATTCATATTTCTTATTGTAAACAAGAATTACTCAAACCCTATAAGAACATACAGAACCAATGTTTTATATGTACACACACATACAACCATGTCAGAAAAAATTGTCCTTTGTATCTTTTTCAGGAAAATGGAATGTTCTGATAGTACTATTGTTTCTATTATTTAGATATCCTCAAAGGAAGTTAATGTGTTATTTTCCTAAATACCTAGCAAAATCAAATATAGACTCATTCTTCAGATCGCCAGTTTAGGGAGTCTGTCAGTCAACTCTCCAAATGCTTGGCAGGTAACCATTATCAGCTAAACACTTCAAGTTTAGCTAATCAATTTGGAAGCCACTACTAAAATCATAAGTATTTCAAAATTATAGTTTCCTATTTGCCACTTTATGATTGTGTTGTATATTTATTTATTTCTGAAACAGTTCTGAATTTAGGATCCTGGATATTCTTGAAATACATTTTTTGCAAATATTCTTACAAATGGTTAGGATTGCTTTGTCTGTCCATAGAAGCTGGACTGTCTTCTTTTAAATCACTCATAAAAGTAGGATGAAAGACAATGTGTTTTTTCATTGTTGGTTCAAGTCATGTCATCAGCTTCCTTCCATTTCTTGCTCCGTGGTATGTTTTTAATATCACAAATAGGAGGTGGTAACGGATGATAGAAAGGGAGATATTCTGAATAGGAAGAACAGTTTCCCTCTTTATTATCCAGCTAGACAGGTGAAGGGCAACATCTAGTGCCAAAGGTAGGAACTGCCAATTCAAGTGGGGATTCTTTTCTTACATTACCAGTAGTTTTGTCTCATCACTTCTTAAGGTTGCAGAGATCCAAAAAGGAAGAGACTGAATGTTGGAGTTATCCCTTGATTTTCCCATGAAAAGACAGTGTGGTATTCCAGCTCAGTATTTTCTTTTTTAATAAGAAAATAATATAAGGGGTAAAAGTAACTAATTAAAAAACCAGGGTTGCCAAATGGCTTATGAACATGTTTGAACTTCTTGTAAAGTTCGCTAACAGGACAGCCAACTGCATGATAAAAGCCTTGTCTGAAAAACCCAAGAGTGGTTTTTGACAGATATTACCAGTAAAAAGACAGCCAGTTGGTATAATGGTTAAAGCATCAAACTAGAAACCAGGAGAAGATGAGTTGTAGTTTTGGGCACAAAAGCGACTGGGTGACTTTAGGCCAGTCACTTTTTATCAGCCCTAGGGAAAAATAAATGGCAAACCAATTTTGAAAAACCTTACCAAGAAAACTGCAGAGACGTATCCATTTTGTCTACAAGAATTGGACATAATTGTGTGGAAGAAAAAATCCATAAAAAGATGTTCCGTGGCCATACATTCCTTTATAAACACTTTTGTTTTAAGAGATATAAGTAAGTACTAAGAAGAAAAAGGGATACAGGTGAAAGATTATGTCTGAATCTCATGAAATTCTATTTGTGAGGCAAGTTGACTGGAAGTAAATATTGAAATAGGTCTTGGGGTTATTTCTGTTTTAATATATCATTTTACTGCCTTGAATAAAAAAGATATGATTCATGTGAACCTTACATAGAAAGAAACCAAGGATAAGAGCCACCAATTTCCACACATTTTCCTACATTTAATGCGATGTGTTAAATCTTGAAAAACAGAAAAGCAGTAAAATAAAGTATGATAATAATTATATTCTAAGATGAACACCTCTGGTAAAATGTGTAAATTATGTTCTGATAATATAAGGTGAGATCAGCAGAGGTGAGATCTCATCTCATCTTTTAAAATTATCTCACAAAGAATTAGATAGGACTGTAGCCACAGCATTCATAATTATTTTTTCAACTACCTGCTGTACTTTCTCCTGTACCATCTTAGCTGTACCATCTTAGCTGATTGAAAGCTAATTTTACACTCCTAATAAGTTTGAAAACTGGCTTATTATTATTTTTAAAAAGAAAACAAATGTACATTAATTTGCCAATGATTTAAAAGTATTATGTAGAAATTTATTTATTATTTTGGTTTTACTGTAAGCCATCCAAAAATATTTATCACTAAGTGCCTTAAAGATGAAAAAACCAAGAAAGTCCAGTTGCCTTTTGAAAAGGCACCTTTTCAAATAACTGAATGATTGGGAATCACCATTGACATCACTAATTACCCTATAAATGTTCATAAACTTTGTATTTTGTATTTTTATTAATAAACTGATTAATAACTTTTTATTAATAATTTTGTGTTTTTAATTAATAACAAAAAAGGAACCAACCAAAATATCATCACACATACACATACACTGAGGCTATTTTCCTCAAAGATCAGTCAAGGATGTT